TGGCTCAAGCCTGTAATTCCAGCACTTTGGGAGGCCAAGGTGAGAGGATTGCCTGAGCTCAGGGGTTTGATACCAGCCTGGGCATCTTGGCAAGACCTCATCTCTACAATAAATCAAAAAAATTTGCTGGGCACGGTAGTGTGCACCTGTAGTTCCAACTACTTGAAAGGCTGAGGCAGAAGCATCCCCTGAGCCCAGCAGGTCGAGGCTGCGGGGCGGCCATGAGCGTTCCACTACACTCTAGCCTGGGTGACACAGTGACACTCCAACTCAAAAAAAAAGACCAAACTCCCCTAAACTTGACACATTTGAGACCAAAAAATGTGCTGCTTAAAATCTTACCTGTCTCAGATTCTCAGTCTCCTCAGACCAGCCACCTGATGTGAACCCCAAAATTCACACCCTCCAGATGGCAGAGACTAGGAGAGAGCATCCCCTCTTGGTCACAAAATCAAGCTCTCAGGACATGAAGAGATAACAAGGAAACCTCATCTGGTTTTTGTCTCAGGGTCCCACAGCAAAGTTTGCCTTAACAGACACTGATCTAGTCAGAACAGTAAAACTAACAAGTGTATAGGGCTGGCTCAAACCGTGGGCTTATATAGGGTTCTCGGCCCGTGTTCTACCCTATTGTACCCTTCCTCATGACAGACAAAGACAAAAGAAAGCGGCAACGAAAAGCTATTTCTGAGAGGAAAAGGGTTAAACAATATGAATGTGCATATCACAAAGTACCAAAAGTGCACCAGAGCCCCTACAACCTGAGATAAATTACACAAATCCTTTTTTCCTATGAATTAAAACCTTAAGACAAAATTGATATTTTCTGTCCCCTTACCAGAGTGCATACCAGAGAGAGAAGCCAGGAGGCTTGCTGGTAAGAAATTCTTTCCCCTGTGCTGCCAAAACAGGTTCCTGGGTTCTCCTCACCATGGCTGGCTGTCACACACACAAAGTCCTGTGGCTTTACTTGGGAAATCTGGCCATTGGCTAGCAATGCAAACTTGTCAGTTGGAAAAAAGCAGCCGGCACGGTGGCTCATGCCTGTAATCCCAGCACTTTGGGAGGCTGAGGTGAGAGGACTGCCTGAGCTGACTGGTTCGAGACCAGGCTAGGCAACTTGGCAAGCCCTCATCTCTACAGTAAATAAAAAAATTAGCCAGGCGTGGTGGTGTGTGCCTGTAGTTCCAGCTACTTGGAAGGCTGAGGTGGAAGGGACCCCTGAGCTCTGCAGGTTGAAACTGCGTTGGCCATGAGCATGCCACTGCACTCCAGCCTGGATAACAGAGACTCCAACTCAAAAAAAGAAAAAGAAAAAAGTCCAAACGAGTTTTATTCAAATGCCAGTAGAAAGGTAGCAGACTAAAATAGAGCTCAGGAGACTTTATTTAAACTCTATAGTTGTAGTTTGACCTTTTTTTTTAAGTGGAAATCTCATCTGTCACCCAGGCTGAAGTGCAGGGTCATGCTCACAGTCATTCCGCCTCAGCCTTCCGAGTAGCCGGAACTACAGGCGTGCGCTACCACACCCAGCTCATTTTTTGACTTATTATAGAGATGTGGTCTCGCTGCCCAGGCGGGTCTCGAACCCACGGGCTTAGACATCCACTCACCTCTTCCTCCCAAAGGCGCGGGATGATAGGCTGAACCACCGAGCCCGGCTTATATGTAGTTTTTTATTTCCTTCTTTATCTGTTATGTCACGCCAGAGTAAAGTTGGACAGTAAGCCACATGATACAGGGTTGATAAAACCCATCCGATGAGACTTTGTAGTTTGTAGGGCAAGAAAAGAAAAAAAGAGTTCAGTCCTCACTTTAAATAATAAATCGTTGCCGGCTCTGTGGCTCAGCCTGTAATCCCAGCGCTTTGGGAGGCCTTGGGAGGCCGAGATGAGTGTATTGCCTGACCCACCCGGGCAAGTGGGCGAGACCGCATCTCCACAATAAATCAAAAATCAGCCGGGCGTGGTAGCGCATGCCTGTAGTTCCAGCTACTTGGAAGGCTGAGCGGAAGGATCGCCGGAGCCCAGCAGGTCGAGGCTGTGGGGGCCGGGAGCGGCCACTGCACTCCAGTCTGGGCGACGGAGTGAGACTCCGACTCAAGAAGATGACGAGTTAGCTGCATACTTATGGCACAGCTGATGCAGGTAAAGGATTTATTTTTCTTCTGGAACTACAGGAACGTGCTACTGTACCCAGCTAATTTTTTTATTTATTGTAGAGATGAGGTCTCGCCCAGTTGCCCGGGCGGGTCTTGAACATGCAAGCTCAGGCAATCCACTCACCTCGGCCCCTCAAAGCGCTGGGTTTACAGACTGAGCCACCGAGCCCGTCCTCGTCATCTAATAAAGCACATTTGCAGTAGCTTTTGTTTTTTCCTCTTATGTAATTATTGACATGTTGCCTTTGAACTTTTGCTAACAAATAACTTGCAACATAGGACCAAGGAAGAGAAATACTGGGAGTTTGGGGGGGTTTGCACAGCATTGTTTTATAATGTAAAGTCACATGCATGAGATCAGGGATAGGCCAGTGGCCCTAGCTCTACCCAGAAGCCCTACACAGCTGGCTGCAGCCTGGAAGTGTCTCCAGCATGGAGGCACAGACAGGTTGTCACCTCCCAGGCAGCAGAAGTCATTCCCTGCCGAGCACCAGCCCCTGCTTCATTTTCTAACTTTTTTTTTTCTTTTGAGTAGGAGTCTTACTCTGTTGCCCAGGCTGGAGTAGCAGCAGCACACACTCAACCTGCTGGACTCAGGCAATCCTTCCGCCTCAGTCTCAAGTAGCCGGAACTACAGGCATGTGCCACCACGCCCAGCTAGTATTTGGATTTATTGTAGAGAAGAGGTCTCGCCATGATGCCCAGGCTGGTCTTGAACCTGTGGGCTCGGGCAATCCTCTTGCCTTGGCCTCCCAAAGTGCTGGGATTACAAAAATGTGAGCATCATTCATTCTCAGTTTAGACCTTCAGGTCTTCCTTGTCCTTCTGGGAATAAAAGTCCAATGCCCCAGTCTTTTATGGTTTTATTTGGGGTCTCACTCTGTTGCCCAGGCTGGAATACAGTGGCACAATCACAGCTCACTGCAGCCTCCAAAGAAACTAGAACCACAGGCATGCTCCACCATGCCGGGCTAATTTTTTTTTTTTTTTTTTTTTGGTAGAGAGAAGGTCTCACTACATTTGCCTAGGCTTGTCTCAAACTTCCAGGTTCAAGCAGTCCTCCCATCTCGGTCTCTCAGAGTTCTGGGATTATAGACAGGAGGCAGTGCTCCTGGCCCCCAGTGTCTTTTTGCTCCTGCTCGTTGAACTCTGGCCTCTGTCTTGAACCCTGCAGGTCCCCCTGCCTCTGCTCTGTGGCCCGTTCTCCAGACAGAACTCCTTCCTCAACCTCAGCCCTGCCCTCTCGCTGCCTCGCCCCCCAGGGAGGCCCCGAGCCTGCCAGGTGGGCACTGGCTGGCACTCCGGAGTTGCTGTCTGCCCAGTCTCCAATTCCTGCCACGCTTCCCTTACTAGGAGCGAGGCCTGGCTGCAGAAGCCAAATCAAGGGATTTGCGCTGCTCCCCTTCGGCCTAGGTTGCCCCAGTGGTGGTAGGTACGGGGAGGCAGTGGGATCAGCCCATCCCTGCCAGGCTGGGCCCACACTGGCGTGTGGTTACAAAGGGTAAATGGGCCGGCTCGGTGGCTCAGCCTGTCATCCTGCGCTTTGGGAGGCCAAGGTGAGTGGATTGCCTGAGCCCGCGGGTTCGAGACCCGCCTGGGCAGGCGAGACCTCATCTCTACAATAAATCAAAAAATCAGCCAGGCGTGGTAGCGCGTGTCTGTAGTTCCGGCTACTCCGAGGGCTGAGGCGAAAGGATCGCCGGAGCCCAGCAGGTCGAGGCTGCGGTGGCCGGGAGCGGCCACTGCGCTCCAGTCTGGGCGACCGAGTGAGACTCCGACTCAAAACAAAGGGCAAACAGGCTTGGCCTAGCTCTAGGAGTCCTGCGCTCCTGAGTGACAGGGACGTGCTTGGAGATCCAGGCTAGCGTGGGATGCCGCGGGCTCTGGTTCTGGGGAGCCCCACCCCGCAGGGCAGGGAGGCCAGAATCGTGGCCGGCGTCAGCTGGTGGTTTGTATCCAGCTGTCGTCTGGGGAGCTTGGGCTGGGAATGGCTCCAAAGCCGCAGCCCACCCGGCGTCCAGACCTGCAGGGCATCATCTGGGCTGGGGCTCCACCTGCGGCTTCCCCTCCTCGCCGGGCCACCTGCCTCCCTCTTCCCAGGGGTCCTCAGAAACCGGCGAGGGCACAGGGTTCGGCGGAGCGGGGCCTCCCTCGGGACTGGCCTCGTGCCTAGGAAGTTCTTCTAGTTCCTGCCTTGAGCTTTGTGTTGCCCAGGAAGTCAGAGCCCCCCCCCCGCCCCGAAACCCGCTGGGCAGCCTTTCACAAGTCAGTTCCCCTCCGACGTGCAGGGCGTCACCTCCTTCCAGCCGCCCCGGGGCTCCACCTCTCCGAGGCTCCAGCGCTCAGGCCAGGACTCCAGATCAGCAGCACCTCAGTCCCCTCACCTGTAAGAGACAGAAGGGAGTTTCAGGGAGCAGTCCAGGCTGGCCCGCTCCCCTCTCTGCGCCCCCTTTAATTCCGGCCCGCACTTGTGAAGCTCTTTTGCATGCTGGACGCGATCCGTTTCAGCAGTCCCAGGCCAGGAGGCCTGAGGAAGAGCTGCGGACGGGTCGCTGGGCGGGGAGCACGGGAAGGAGCTGCCAGCCAGGCCGGGGACCAGACGCTGTCCGGGGCAGAGCCCTCCCCGCCGTTTCTGCTCCACCCCCACCCCCGCCATGCACAGCCCCGGGCTCTGGCTGCTCGGTGCGCTGTGGCTCCCGGGTGAGTCGTCCCCACGGGGCCGCCGGCTGGGGTTCCCGGGAGCCGCCCTCCGGGGCGCGGTGCAGGGCAGGGTGGCTCTCCGCGTGGCACCGGGAATCGGGACCCAGGTTGTCTGGGCTCACTGCACCCTCCACACTGGAGCTGCTGCTTCGGGCCGGTCCCCAGGAGCGGGGCGAGCAGCCGAGAGGTCAGCGGCCCTGAGAACCTTCCAGTCGAATTGTGGAAGGGACACCAGCTCCAGGCGTTTCTCTGAGCTTGTGGGTGGGGTCTCGGCCAGACATAGCAGGGTTGAGGACGGCAGGGTGGTTTCACCGGCTGCCGGGACTCCTGGGATTTTCCTGGGGGAACCACAGGGCGTTTCCCACCCCACTGCCACCTTCCAGCCAGACAGGGAAGGGAGGACAGAGAAGCAGTGGCCTGGAGCCGAGGGACGTGGGCTGGAGGGGTAGCCGAGCCTCACAGAGACCTGGCTCGGCCTGGGAAAGGACCCAGTAGGCGGCTGGCCCTGGTGCCCACCCCGCTCCTGGGAGCATCCCAGCAGGCGGGGCGGGCAGCTTTTCCTGCGACTTCCCGCTGCTGGAGGTTTGCAAGATAATGGTAGCGGAGAGCAGTCGTTAATTAGCATTTCAAAAGACAGAGACCAGGGCTAGCTGGGGCTGGCGGTGTCGGTGAGCTCCGCTCTGCTCCTGCAGGGCCGCTCACTGCCCTCTGATGTGGGACACCAGGGAGATTTCAGTTCCTGGAGACCGACAGCCTGGGGGAAGCCCCTTTGCTTCTCCGGTTAGAGCTGATCATGTGATTAGATGGGTGGAAAGTGCAGGGCAGGACCGGAGAGGACACCCGCGGCCCTTGGGCGCCTCCGGGGACCGTCCGGGAGCAGCTGGGTGGGCCCGCGGAGAGGCTGGCGCCGCCAGGGCCCTGGGTGCCAGGTGCGGGTGCTGCCAGGCCAGGTCTGCGGTGCCCCTGGCTTGGGGTCCTGGGGTCCTCGCTTGAGCCGCTGCCCCGAGCTCCCTGGCGAGCCCCCGGGGCAGAGGAGGGCTCCCGGCCTGCTGACCCTTCTTCCCTCCTGCAGCAGTCGCCCTGGGCCAACCCTTACCCCACGTGGAGCGGTATGAGGTGGCACTCCCCCGGCGCCTGCTGGGACCCCGAGCCCGCCGGGCCCTGCCCTCCCACGTGGGACGTGTAAGTGGACCCGGCACGCGCCTCGCTGGCCCTCAGCCCCCAGGGGCGGTTGTGAGGCCTGGCGGTTCTGGGCCCGTCTCTGCTTCCTCCTTCCTCCTGCCTCACCTGCGGGCTGGCCGCTGCCTCTGGCCCCCAGGAATACTCTGGGCTCCGGAAGGAGGGCTGGGGCAGCTCGTGCTGGCCCCAGGCCACTCCAGGCTCACGTGGCGGGGGCTGACACCCGGCATTCCTCTTTGAGCAGCGGAAATGGCTCACTCAGGGCTGACACGCCTTGCTGGGTGTGTGTGCACCGGCGCTGGCCAGACTCCCCGGGGCTGGGAACCGAGAATGCCCCTGGGCTGCCCAGGGAAGATTCCTGAAACCCGAGTGGGTGGGTGTGCACCGCGCCCGCTGGCGCGCGGGCTGGTGTGTGTGTTTCCAGGGATGCTGGCCCCACCTGTCCTTACTCGCCGTCTGGGGAGGCTGCCCTCGGGGCCACCCCGCCTGCTGCCCAGGCTTCCTTCCACCCAGTAGCATCATGGAAACTGTCTACAGGGTCAGCAGGCTTAAGTCCTAGCCTGCCCAGGGTGGGGGCTGGGGTTCCAGCAGGGGCAGGGAGGCGATCCCACTAGGAGGGTGGGGCCTGAGGGGCGGGGTGGCTGGTGCGGGAGAGCCGGCCACCCCACCCCTGCCCCGCCTCCTTGCTGCCCTGGCGCTGAGGGCTGGGGCTTTGTCCCCCACCTCTTACTTCCTCAGGGACTGGGGAGGGGCCTCATCGCTGGTTCCTTGTATGGACAGATGGGGAAGCCGAGCCCTGGAGGACCGAGGAGCCCCGTGTCCTTGAGGCCCGCCCAGGGGAGGGGTTCCCCCTGCCCCCTCCAGTCCAGCCCAGCCTCCGGCCCTGCCTGAGACTGTGGCCCCCTGGAGGTGCCCTGAGAGGCTTTCAGGCTACGGGAGCCCTGGCCTGGGGCTGGAGGCTGAGCCCCTCAGCTCCCCAGCGTGAGGGGCGTGGCCCGGGCAGGCAGCTCACCCCGTCCTCGCCTCCCTCAGGGCCTGCACCCAGAGAGCGTGAGCTACGTCCTTGAGGCCGGTGGGCACAGCTTCACCCTGCACCTGCGGAGGAACAGGTGAGGGAGGGTCTGGTCCCTGAGGTCGCCCCGCCAGCCATGCCGGGCCAGCGCGGTGGTGCCCTCGTGTCCAGCTTCCCGGCCAGCCGCCCCGCCGGGAGAGGGCTGGGCACAGAGACAGCGAGACCGCGGGGACTACAGCCACGCTCTTCCAGGGACCTGCTGGGCTCCGGCTACACAGAGACCTACACGGCTGCCAACGGCTCCGAGGTGACTGAGCAGCTGCAGGAGCAGGTACGGGGGCGGCCCACCCCTCCCCCATGCGGGTGGTGGGCACGGGACCGCGGACCCCGACATGCTTCTCCCGCAGGACCACTGCTTCTATCAGGGCTACGTGGAGGGGCACCCGGACTCGGTGGCCAGCCTCAGCGCCTGTGCTGGCCTCAGGTGGGTGTGCTGGCGAACGCGGGCGCTGCTCCCCCTGCTGTGCCGGGAGGGGAAGGGGGGCTTG